CCTCTAACGGGGCCTGACGGGGCCGAACGGGGCCTATAACGGGGCCTGACGGGGCCTATAACGGGGCCGTACGGGGCCTATAACGGGGTCTGACGGGGCCTATAACGGGGCCGTACGGGGCCTATAACGGGGCCGTGCGGGGCCTATAACGGGGCCTGACGGGGCCTATAACGGGGCCGTACGGGGCCGTACGGGGCCTATAACGGGGCCTGACGGGCCTTACGGGGCCTTAAACGGGGCCAAATGGAGCCTGACGGGGCCGAACGGGGCCTATAACGGGGCCTGACGGGGCCTATAACGGGGCCTGACGGGGCCTATAACGGGGCCGTACGGGGCCTATAACGGGGCCGTGCGGGGCCTATAACGGGGCCTGACGGGGCCTATAACGGGGCCAGACGGGCCTTACGGGGCCTTAAACGGGGCCAAATGGGGCCTGACGGGGCCATACGGGGCCTCTAACGGGGCCTTACGGGGCCTCTAACGGGGCCTGAAGGAGCCTGACGGGGCCTCTAACGGGGCCTGACGGGCCTTACGGGGCCTTAAACGGGGCCAAATGGGGCCTGACGGGGCCGTACGGGGCCTCTAACGGGGCCTGACGGGGCCATACGGGGCCTCTAACGGGGCCTGTCGGGGCCTAACGGGGCCTTAAACGGGGCCGAACGGGGCCTGACGGGGCCTTACGGGGCCTTACGGGGCATAACGGGGCCTTACGGGGCCTTAAACCGCGCCCTAAACGGGGCCTTAAGGGGCCTTACGGGGCCTAACGGGGCCTTACGGGGCCTTACGTGGCGGGCGCTGGCTATGAGGGCAGGCGCAGGGGCCGCGATGGGCCTCGAAGGGAAGGCGCAACGCGCGCGGCAAGTAGGCAGTGAAAATTTTAGTGGCGGGCCCTTTTTAAAAATTCTCGAAACTAGCTCTATACCATGTGAGAATGATAGACGAAAGAATGAATGAACTAGAAATGAGATGGGTACATATAGGAAACACATAAGTGTTGTACCCTCTAAGAGCTACCCCACTACAGCCTAAATAGACCATAGCAGATATAAGTTTGACAATAGGGACTCGCGTGGCTACTGTACCTGCTCTGGTTAGCTGTTCTTGACCTTCTTCATGAAACCACTTTTGATACTGCTGGCGGACGCTCGCCTTAAAGCTCTTGTTGATGGAGACGTCGAGGGGCTGTACCTCCGCCGTGCAGCCAGACGGGATGATCGCCGGCACGCAGTTGAGCTTGCGAAACTTCTCCTTCACCCCCTCAATGAGGTGACCGCGGTACGAGTCCAGTACGACCATCGAGCTCTGCGCATGCCTCCCGAACCCAGGCTTTAAAAAGGGCTTGATGCACTCCTCAAGCCATCGTATGACGCCTTCCACGTCCATCCAGCCGTTCTCGTGACACGCCATGACCACATCTGCATAACAAACAAGCTTCTGTAAGTTTCTCTAAAAAACAGGACTGGTGAAAAGCATACAAACAAGAATCATGACTTACCCGGCGGGAACACCCCTTTCGGCACGGTCTTCCGCTTGAAAAAAACCCACGGCTTCAGCTTCATCCCGTCCGCCGTGCACGCCAACATCACGGTCACGCGCTCCTTCTGGTACCCCGCGCTCCTGATGGGCACCGACCGAACACCGGTTTGATCGACGGTAGTGGTGGCGGGCATCTCCAGCCACAGCGGCGTCTGGCCGGCGTTGATAATCCACGACGTCTCGATGCCGCGCTCCCGACGCTTGTCACGGACGAATTGCCAGAACTTCTTGCATTGCTCCGCGACATCTGCGGTTGAGCACAATTACGGTTAGTGAGTAACAAGTGCATACACATGGCATAGAGAATAAAAATGATTCTTACGGGCGGCGGTTTTCTGGGCGACCTTCGTCTTCATTCGCACGCTGAGATTCCACCGCCGACGGAACCGGTCCGACCACCGTTGGCTCCCTTTCCACTTCACGAGGGGGTAGAGAAACTTCATGAACTCCCGGGACCACTCCTGCAGGCGGCCGACAGACACCGCGGTTCCCTTGCGTCGCCAGTCGAGTAGTCGCTCATACACCTTGATCTCCATCGGGCGGTACCACGACGCCCTGCCGCGACCGTGCATGCGCTTCCTGGCAGAGTGGGCTTCCTTGAGGAAATCAGCAGCACGCTTCCAGTTGGCGAGGCACTTGTGGTGGATGCCACTCTCGCGAGCCAGAGCGCGCACCGACACTGCCACATCCAGCTGCGCGACCCACTTCAACTTCTCGGCGGCAGTATAGGCCTGACGCTTGTGATCGTTGGGCTTGTGCCTAGGAGAGGGGGGCGAGAATCACGGTTCTGTGAAGAAGGGTGAGGTCGCTTTCGATTACGTTGGGGCCCTTGTTAGAATCCGGTTCCGACAGATACTCGTCGAACGCCGATGGGAGCAGGAGCGTGAGCACGGGGTGGTTGTCGGTGACGTGAGGGGCCACTGGACACGGAGGAGACGGGGGAACAGGAGGAGCAGGGGGAGTCGGAGGCACTGGAGGAGCCGGAGGAGCAGGCGGCGCAGGAGGCGCAGGAGGCTGTGGTGGCTCTGGAGGGTCTGGTGGTATGCGGCTATACCACCCGTCAGCTGTAACACAGTACGCGGGCCTACTGGAAGGTATTTTCTTGAAGAGAAAATGAGTGCCTGTGAATTCCGCCATGGCTTCCGCAGCCAGGCGGGCGAGAAAAAGAAGAATGAATGAAAAACTGCAAGGATGGGTGTTGAAATGAGAGATTGAAGGGGACCCCTTCTGGTTTGCGGCTCGGGGTCCTCGTCGATGAGAGACGAGTACACCCCTGCCTCAACCCGCAGAGGAGGGTTGGGGGCACCATCCATGCTACGCTGGCACGGCAGATTCCATCACGTTCTGGATAGTTATGCCGAGATGCTCCTGCCTGGCAGCGCATGCCAACCTGATTGGGCCGCACTGCAGGTTTTGCATCAGTGCTGGTAGGTGCGTTGCACCGGGACCAGGGCTGACGTTTCATTTTGAGCTTCCCTGATTCCGGGGAAAATTTCCCCCCTCTATTATGGGTGCACATTTTCCAGAAAAGCAGTACCTTGATTGCTCAGGGTTGTAAAGTAGTTAACACTGATTGTTCAGGGTCGAGAACTGAACATCAGAGTAGTAACACGCGCTTTGTTACCGGGGAAAATATCCCCACTCTCCATAAAGTCTGCGCGCTGTGTTTCCTGCTGGCTGTACACTCGACTGATTTGTGCAGGGCGGGTGTGATTGACCTATCTGGTGTGCGAGTGTAACGTTTCCCTGTCTTATTACCATGCCCAATTGGATCTCTTCAGCTGGCATGCATCAGACACGCTGCGACTGTAGTTAGTCACCCTCAGAGGCGTTCCTTCTGGAGCGAGTGTACCGATCGAACGGGCGAGTCACACCTGTTCGAGTCGCAGATTTCCGCTGTCAGAGCCTATTTCGACCAATCCCAGCAAAGTATATCTGACATTGCAGATTCACGCGATCTCGATGGTAGGTGTATCAGAACGAAGTTTCGAAGAAACTTCGTCTCGATAAAGCGGGAAGGGGGGGGATTACGCACATGTGGGGGGATCACTGCGATCAATCCAAGGCGGGGTCATCGGAAGGAAACTTCCGAGAAACTTCTTCTCGATAAGTCAGGGTCCACACAGTCGATACTCTGTTAAGTCAGGGTCCACTAACAGCCTAGTCTGTTACACTGTACTCAAAATCAGGGTTAGCTAAACTATTACTCTGATTGGATCAGGGCTGGAAATTCAATAACTCTAAAATTTCAGTCTCCACGAAGTGGAAAGCCTGAAATCACCCTGAAATCAGGGTAATTACCCTGATAAAATCAGCCCTGACCGGGACGGGTTTTGTGCAGCTAGTTTCGCCGTCATTCCATGCACGACCCCGCGCGCATGGTACAGTGTTGTATTCGCCTTATTGAGGGCTTCAGAATGATATCCTTTACAGTGAAATTCAATTCTGCCTTTATTAAAGCGCCGGCGCTTATGGCCGTTACTCAATTACAAGCGCCCCCCCCTAAAAAAAAATGAATTTATTATAAGCGCATATGCGCTACTATCCGGGGTATTACGGTATGTAAATTTAATTTTACAACCCATCCCTCCCTTCCCCTACGCAGTACCAGTACTTATCTCATTTATACTTCAGATTTATTCTGCATTGGAAAAAAAACGTCACAATTTACAGCACCTGGTTATGAAAAAATGGTCACAACATCCCTACGATATCCACGCACCATAAGCAACCTAGGTACACCATCTACAAGCCTATCGAGTTCAGCTTAATAGTGGTGTACAAAAACTTATTTACCTGCCCCTCGTCGAAAACCTTTCCCTTGGACTTGCTCCCCGCAGGTTCGGGCAAATGCTGTTTGGTTCGGTGCTGCCTTTGAATGCTCGCACTTGGCTTTGAGGCATTTGTTTCTGTAGAAGCGTTACCATGAGAACCATGGGGCATTTGTGCATCTGCCTCCATCATCGTGGCTATGTTAGTTCGTGCCTGTTTGAAAAAAGGGGAAAGAGGGTAGGGGAAGGGAAAGGGAGGGCTTTGAGGCATTGGTTTCTGTAGAAGCGTTACCATGTGACGTTTGCATATCCGCATCCATCATTCTTGCTATGTTAGTCCGTGCCTGTTTCAAGGAAGTGGAGAGAGATAGGAGAAGGGGAAAGGGAAGGGGAATGGGTGGGGAAAGGGAAAGGGGAATGGGTGGGGAAAGGGAAAGGGGATGTGTGCATGTGTGCGTGTGCATGTGTGTGTGTGTGTGTGTGTTTGAGAGAGAGAGTGTGTGTGAGAGAGCACGTGTGTGTGCATGCATGCACATGTGTGAATCAATCAACCCACCCGAGTAAATGCCTCCATGGCTCCTTGCTTCGCCAGCTCTGCCTCTGCCCCATCCTCATCCCATGCCCTCCCATGTGTATGCATATGCGTGTGTTACTGTGCACGTGTGCACATGCATGTGCGGGCATGTGTGTGAATCAACCCACCCGAGTAAATGCCTCCATGGCTCCTTGCCTCGCCAGCTCTGCTTCCGGCCCATCCTCGTCCCCCACCACGTCCTCCCATGCCCTCATCGTCACCACCACCACATCAGCCTGTTGTGGGTGAAAGAGATACAGTGAGAAGATTCTGAGGTGCCTGAACCAGCTCTGCCTCGGGCCCATCCTCATCCCCCACCACGTCCTCCCACGCCCTCATCGCCACCACCACCACATCGGCCTGTACAGACAAGGGAGGGACGGGGAGACAGGGCAAGAATTTCAATGTGGGGATATCAGAGGTGGTTCAAAAGGCTCAGGATTCATCCTCGTCCCCCACCACATCCTCCCATGCCCTCATCATCACCACCACCACATCAGCCTGCAGAGAAAAAAAGAGGGATGTCAGTGGGTGGTAGTTGAGGAAACGAGCTGTCCGTGAAGGGAAAACTAGGGCGCCTCAAGAAGCTCAGCCTCCTCCGGCCAATCCTCGTTCCCCACCACGTCCTCCCATGCCCTCATCGTCACCACCACCACATCGGCCTGTACAGACAAGGACGGGATATTCTTTTGAGGCCCTCGGAGTCACTCTGAGTCGCTCTGCACCACCGTCAAAATCTCTGAACCACTCTGAGCCACTTAGAGCCACTTTCAACTCTGCAACACTCTGAGCCAGAGGTGAACCACTCTGAACACCGAACTGAACCGCTTTGAGCCACTCTGCAATACTCTTTCTCACTCTGTCTCTGAACCGCTCTGTGCCCCACTGAGCCTCGGAGTTACCGCTCTGAACCGCTCTGAGCTCACCTGCATGCGCAGGTCGTGCAGAAACTGAGCCACGTCTAGTTGCAAGGTCTCTGCTGTCCCATCGTCCTCTGCAATGCAGAACACCTGAAGAAAAGTGGGGAGGGGACGGAAGCAAGAATTCGAGTGTGCGTGCGAGAGTAAATTTGAAGGAGGCTTTAATGTCTGGGAACCACAGGAAGAGCCGGAGCCACAAACCCAGCCAAGAATCCACCTCAAGATCCAGAACAGGTCGATTGTGCCGTACTGCCCACACCCCTCTGCTGGCACCCCTCTTCCAGTCCCTTCATTACCCCACACACGACTTTTGAGACGTCTCAAAAATCGACTCACTACACGCGGATTTTGAGTCGACTCAAAAATTGAGACGTCTCAAAACTCTTCCAGTCCCTTCATTACCCCACACACGAAAAGGAGGGCGGTTCACCTACCCAGCCAGCCGGGTTTCCAACACACACAGCGCACCTGAATCTTGCATGCATCGAAGGTGGGTCGGGAGCGCAGCAGCTGGGACAGCAGCAGCATGATGCCCCCATCCCTCACGATCCAGAACAGGTCGATTGTGCCGTACTGCCCACACCCCTCTGCCGGCCACTCGTCCAGCCCCTTTACAATCACACACGCCTTGCCCGCCGTGTTGCTGTCGTTGATAAGGCTCACAAAGGTCTCGGGAATGTGACTGTAACGAGGGATGAGAAAAAGAACAAAAGAAAGGGAAGAAGGAGCAGAAAAGGCATGAAAAGGGAGAATTTTTGGGAGAGAAGGAAGCAGAAAGGCAAACTCTGGATTTGCGACATTTCAGAACTCACAGTCCCTTGACTGGGCTTAAAATGCTGGGCTTTAAGCCTCGTACCTTGACTCTTGCTGCTGCCACGCCTTCGGGGTATCTGAAGCAGACGATGTTGGGCTTTAAGCCAGCCAGCCAAATGCTCTGCATGGAGGGGGATTCTTGATCCCCCTACAGTCACGCACCCGAGCTTCAACTTGCTGGGCTTTAAGCCCCGTACCTTGACTCTTGCTGCTGCCACGCCTTCGGGGTATCTGAAGCAGACGATGTTGGGCTTTAAGCCTGCCAGCCCCATGCTGCATCCAAGGGAATCCCCACTCCCCACAATTATTCGAGCTTAAGCCTCGTAAATACCTGGACTCTTGCTGCTGCCACGCCTCTGGGTATCTGAAGCAGACGATGTTGGGCTTTAAGCCTGCCAGCCCCATGCTCTGCAGGGCGATGCCCACTCCTCGCCTCACTGTCGACGCCACCATCACCTCCGCCACGCCCTCGCACTGATTGCTGTCTATGTATGCCAGGAGCACTCGGGCCGACCTACCGGCCTCTGCTGCTAGGGTGCTGGCGGAGGGGGAGAGGAAGGGACAGGAGAGAAAAGTAAAGGAGGGAGGGAGGGGGAGGGAGACTCAGCATTCAGCCGAACAGAAGGGCGATCCCCACCCCTTGCCTCACAGACGAGGCAACCATGACCTCGGCCATCCCCTTGGTTGCTGTCTATATAGGTAAGCAAAACTCGGGCCGACCTACTGGTTTCTGAGGCTAGGGCGCTGGGGGAGGGGAGAGGAAGGGATGGGGGAGAAAAGTAAAGGAGGGAGGGTGGGGGAAGGAGACTCGGCATTCAGTCGAACAGAAGGGCGATCCCCAACCCTTGCCTCACAGAGGATGCCACCATCACCTCTGCCACGCCCTCGCACTGGTTGCTGTCTGCCAGGAGCACTTGGGCTGACCTAATGGCTTCTGAGGCTAGGGCGCTGCTGGGGAGTAAGGAAGGGAGGGAGGAGAGAAGGAAGGGAGGGAGGAGAGAAGGAAGGGAGGGATTAGAGAAGGAAGGGAGGGAGGAGAGAAGGAAGGGAGGGAGGAGAGAAGGAAGGGAGGGAGGAGAGAAGGAAGGGAGGGAGGAGAGAAGGAAGGAAGCAGTAAGTCAGTCTAGCAGCAACAATGACCGCCGCCACCCCCTCGCACTGGTTGTCGCCTATGTATGCTAGGAGCACACGCAATGACCTGCTGCCCTCTAAGACTAGGGTGCTGAGGGGAGCGATCGAAAGGAAGAGGGACGGGAGAGGAGCAGAGGGGAGAGAACAGAGAGGAGAGAAGAGACTAGTTCGTCAGTCTAACATCACATAATAAAAAAGCAAGAGTGTGGAGGGAGGGAACTCATCAGCCATGCCTCTCCCCTTCTTCCGCATGCATTGCTGTACCCATTGCCTTGCAAGCTACCCTACCGCACCGTACCGCACTGTACCTGTATCCGCCCTCTAGAACCGAGACGAATATGCTCATTCCCCTCCCCTTCTTTCTCATGCACTTGGCGAAATCCCCCAGAAGCGCATGGCATGGCATGGCAGGGCTCCGCGTGGATGGGTCTCCTGCCTCTACCACCCTTCCCCCCGTCTTCATGCAAACCCCGCCCCCTCTCTGCACCATACCTGTAGCCGCCTTCCAAAACAGACACGAAGATGCTCATTCCTCTCCCTTTCTTTCTCATGCACTTGGCGAAATCCCCCAGGCGTGGATGGCAGGGCGCGTCGGGGGACAGCAGACCCCAGGGCTTGCAGAGGATGAGCGGGATGGGGTACCAGTTCTTGGGATGAACCTGAGAGACTGTGGTGTGTGGGGAGGAGATGAGAGGAAGAGAAGGCGAAGGGAGAGAACAGGGTAAGAGCAGAGCAGAACAGCGCAACAGGCCCCAGGGCTTGCAGAGGATGAGCGGAATGGGGTACCAGTTCTTGGGATGAAACGAGGATGAGCAGAATGGGGTACCAGTTCTTGGACCTGAGACACTGTAAAGGGAGGAAACAAGAAGGGAGAGTGAAGATTGTGAGAGCAGAGCAGAGCAGCAGCAACTGCAGGGCTTGCAGAGGATAAGGGGGATGGGGTACCAGTTCTTGGGATGGACCTGAGACACTGTGGTGTGTGTGGGGAGGAGGGGAGAGAAAGAGAAGGCGAAGGGAGAGAACAGGGTAAGAGCAGAGCAGAACAGCGCAACAGGCCCCAGGGCTTGCAGAGAATGAGCGGAATGGGGTACCAGCTCTTGGGATGAACCTGAGAGACTGTGAAGAGAGGGGGAGGGGGAGAAGGAGGGTAAGGAGAGCACGTAAGAGCAGAGTAGAGCAGCACAGCAGCAGCAACCCCCATGGCTTGTAGAGGATGAGCGGGATGGGGTACCAGTTCTTGGGATGGACCTGAGAGACCATGCAACCATGCAACCATGCTGACATGAATAGATTCGATGTATACATTTCTTGGCATGGACCTCTAGGGAGGGTGAGGCGCGCTCAGGCCCACTGCTTCCAAGGGGACTGACTGACTGCGCTAAGGGAATCCTGCCGGTTACCTCCCTCCCAAAAAGTGCAGCGAGCGCAGGGTGAGTTGCATGTAGGCTGACCGTGTAGGCTGACCATGTAGGCGGGCGGATTTGACCCCATCGCCCCAGTCGCCCTCCTTGCCGTGCCAACCAAGCCTCACAGACATGCAGATGAAGAGGACTGTGAGCGTGAGACAGGAGGGATAGACGCACTAACTCACCCACCCACCCACCCACCCACTTACCTCCCAGGAAGAGCAGCGAGCGCAGGGCGAGTTGCATGTAGGCTGACTTGACCCCATCGCCCCAGTCACCCTCCTTGCCGTGCCAACCAAGGCTCACAGACATGCAGATGAAGAGGACTGTGAGCGTGAGACAGGAGGGATGGACGCTCTAACTCACCCACCCACCCACCTCCCAGGAAGAGCAGCGAGCGCAGGGCGAGCTGCATGTAGGCTGACTTGACCCCATCGCCCCAGTCACCCGCCTTGCCGTGCCAACCAAGGCTCACAGACATGCAGATGAAGAGGACTGTGAGCGTGAGACAGGAGGGATAGACGCTCTAACTCACCCACCCACCCACCCACCCACCCACCTCCCAGGAAGTGCAGCGAGCGCAGGGCGAGTTGCATGTAGGCGGACTTGACCCCATCGCCCCAGTCGCCCGCCTTGCCCACCATGCTGACGTAGATGTAGATTAGAACGGCTAGGGTGAGACAGACGAGCGTGAAGAAGCAGGAGATTAGATACATGATGACTGGGGGTGGGGAGGGGGTGGAGGGGGGAAAGAATGGGGTTAGGGAAGACTCAATGCTAGGGTGAGACAGTCGAGGGTGAAGAAGCAGGAGATTAGGTACATGATGGCTGGGGAAAGGGGAAGAACGGGGTGGGGGGAGAGAGGATGGGGGGGGGTTCGGGGAGAGAGAGTGGATGAGGGTGTGGTGCTGAGTCGGCTCAATGGGCACAGAGAAGCGCTCCTGCAAAGGAGACGAGCCAGTCGTGCCAACGCCAGTGCGGGCGCCAGGAAGGGGGCGGATGAGGCAGTGGAAGGTGAACAGTCAAGATACAGGTGGGGCTGTGTAATGTAGGGAGAGGAGAGGACGTTGGAGTGCGAGAACTTACTGAGTCAGAGTAGGGCTGCAGCCTGTTCTTCCTCCTCTCCCACTGCCTGTTCTTACTCCTCTCCCACTGCCTGTTCTTACTCCTCTCCCACTGCCTGTTCTTACTCCTCTCCCACTGCCTGTTCTTACTCCTCTCCCACTGCCTGTTCTTACTCCTCTCCCACTGCCTGTTCTTCCCCTCCCACCATGCACTGCCTGTTCTTCCCCTCCCACCATGCACTGCCTGTTCTTCCCCTCCCACCATGCACTGCCTGTTCTTCCCCTCCCACCATGCACTGCCGGTTCTTCCCCTCCCACCATGCACTGCCTGTTCTTCCCCTCCCACCATGCACTGCCTGTTCTTCCCCTCCCACCATGCACTGCCTGTTCTTCCCCTCCCACCATGCACTGCCTGTTCTTCCCCTCCCACCATGCACTGCCTGCCTGCATGTGCATCCTCATCTTCTCCTCTTGCTTCTCCCACCCACCCACCCACCATCACCCTGTTGCTTGTCCCACCCACCCACCATCACCCTGTTGCCTGCAATGCAGCTTTGTGCTGATAGGAGACGTGGACTACGTATCGCCCGTCATCACAATGTTCTTCCTCCTCTGCTACTGCGGGGTCAACCTCTCCTGTGCTCTCCTCGACCTCGTAGACGCCCCCTCCTGGCGCCCGCGCTGGCGCTGGCACCACTGGCTCGTCTCCCTCGCTGGCGCCCTCCTTTGCCTGAGTAAGTGTGTGCCTGCTCTCCTACCTGCATCGCCTCTTCCAACCCACCCTCTCCTTGTCATCACTCTGTGCTCTCCTACCTGCATCGCCTCTTCCAACCCACCCTCTCCTTGTCATCACTCTGTGCTCTCCTCGACCTTGTTAATGCCCCCGCTGCTGCTGGCACCACTGGCTGGAGAGGAGTAAGAACAGGCAGTGGGAGAGGAGTAAGAAGAGGCAGTGGGAGAGGAGTAAGAAGAGGCAGTGGGAGAGGAGTAAGAACAGGCAGTGGGAGAAGAGTAAGAACAGGCAGTGGGAGAGGAGCAGTGTTGCGGAAGACGCAGGGACCGTCCTGCGTCTAGCGTCTAGACGCTGCGTCTAGACGCTAGACGCAAGACGCACCTTTAGACGCTAGACGCATGGGGGAAAAATTTTCGGTCAGCCCGAAAAAAAAAATCGCGCGCGAAATTTCAACCCCTCCCATCCATTTCGACCTTGATAACATCCCCCAAACCTAGCTTTTAGCCCCACGCCTTATAATAGTATCAGCAGCTAGGACTAAAGTGTTGCACGCCTCTGCTCTACAATGAGCCGGCCAAATAAAGACGTTCTAGAAGAAGCATCGGAGGAGGTGTGAGAGAAATTGAGAAACGGAAAGCTAAGTCGAAATTGGAATTCGTCCCCCGCAGCCAACAGATTTGTGAACCATTTCGTGACCAACCAATTCCGCCTCCCATTACCGATCTTCACCGCACTGAATCTAGAAAACCCAACCAATTTGAGATATGAAATTGTGAGCGTCAATGTTAGATCTAGAAGTTCTAGATCTCGATGAATGTCCCAGCAGACTAATTCGTCTGCTATACCCAGGTCGTCTTCATCCCATTCCCCCTCCCCCTTCCCATGGCCTAAAGAAGATTTTTTAGGCTGCCCGTACTATTTTTTTGGCCTGCCCGGGGTTTCGTCTAATATGCGTCTAATCTGGCCTGAAATGCGTCTAGCGTCTTAGACGCTGCGTCTAGACGCAACCGTCTAAGACGCTAGACGCGTCTTCCGCAACATAGGAGAGGAGTAAGAACAGGCAGTGGGAGAGGAGTAAGAACAGGCAGTAAGAACCAGCACTATCAGCAGTGCACTACCCACACTACCAGAAACACAACCAGCAGCACCTGCAGCAGAGGAGCAGTGTGAAGAGGGTGGCCAGACGCGGCTCCTGATGGCTCTCTGCCTTGAACGCATTCAGCACCGGCAGCACTGCCTGCAACCAGCACTACCAGCAGTGCACTACCAACAGTACCAGAAACAGCAGAAATACCACTAAAAATACCAGCAACACCAGCACAAAAGTTTTGAGACGTCTCAAAACTAAAATACGAGCAACACCAGCAACAGCAGCACAAAAGCAGCACCTGCAGCACAAGAGAAGCGTGAAGAGGGTGGCTAGATGCGGTTCCTGGTGGCTCTCTGCCTTGAACGCATTCAGCACTGGCAGCACGTTGTCATTCGCTATCGCCGCCAGCAGCCGCGGCGCCCCCATGAGGTTCTGCAGTGCTGCTCCGAGCGTTGAGAGGACGATGCCCACCTGAAATTGGTGTGTGCGGTGGGGTGCTCCCTGTGTTGACAGTTGCGCCAGAAAGCAAGAATCTCAAACATACTATAAGAGATTAACAAAACGAAACCTCGAAACGACATACGAGCAGCAAAGGTCACGATTGTTCGGCAGCTGGCACCCACCTGGAAGACAGCTGGCACCCACCTGGACGACAGCTGGCACGGGCCACGCGATCGTGGCAGTGAGAAGCCTGATGAGGGAAGGGAGGAAGAGGGACAGAGAGGTGAAGTGGGGTGAAGAGGTCTGAAGAGGTTTGAGACGTTTCATAACTTGGCAAGGGAAGAGAGAGATGTGACAGTGAGGAGCCAGATAGGGGGAACGGAGAGAGGGACAGATGATGGGTGAGTGCTCGTGGGGATGGACCATCGAGTATGAGGCGACTGCCGACTCGCACCCATCCCCACCGCTCTTGACCCACCTGTCAGTGACAAGCAGGTCCCTGGTGGCAAGCAACAGCACAAAACAGCAGGATGGAGACCACATAGAGACCAGTCATTGAGACAATGGCTGCCAGAGTGCCCGTGGGGATGGACTTGACATGAGTTGACTCATACTAGATCCATCTCCACCGCTTTCAACCCACTTACCTGTCAGTCACCAGAAGGTCCCTGGTGGCAACGGCACCAAATAGCAGGATGGAGACCACATAGAGACCAGTCATTGAGACGATGGCTGCCAGAGTGCCGGTGGGGATGGACCGCTGTGTGTCCCTCAGCGCCTCTGAGCGGTTGGATCCCGCCATGATGCCCGTCACTCCTGGGTAAAACAGCCCCAGCAGCTGGCTGTGGGTGGGTGGGACAAGAGGGAGAGACAAAGAGAAAGGCACGCAGAGAGACAAGGGCCCGTATCTGATCCTGGCTTGCCTGACAGGTTGGGTCGAGTTCGTCCCTCAGTGCCTCTGAGCGGTTGGACCCTGCCATGATGCCCGTCACACCAGGGTAGAAGGTTAGGGTATGGATGGGTAGACATGAGCACAAGTGCGAACACCTGTTCGGTTCGCCTCGAACGTGTTCGAGGCGAACCGAACAGGTTTGTTTTTTTTGCTTAAATTGTTCGCCGAACAGTGTTCGATGTTCGCCCGAACACGTTCGTGTTCGATGTTCGCCCGAACACGTTCATGTTCGGGCCGCTGCTGCAATTTTCCCCGCGACGAACACGAAGGTGTTCGAGGTTCGCCCGAACACGCCTTCACAGGCGAACGGCGAACACGTGTTTTTGCTTAAAGTGTTCGCCGAACCGAACACTGTTCGGTTCGGCAAACGGATGTGTTCGTGTAGGGGCGAACACGAACATGTTCGTGTTCGCCCCTTGCTCATCCCTATGGATGGGTACGGATGGGTGGGGTTGGGTGTGGAAGAGCATTGGAGGGAGGAGTATTCATGATGTGAGGCGAGTATTTGCAATGTGAGGGGAGTATTCGTGATGTAAGGCGAGTATTCGTGATGTGAGGCGAGTATTCGTGATGTAAGGCGAGTATTCGTGATGTAAGGCGAGTATTCGTGATGTGAGGCAGCTACTCGTGATGAGAGGCGAGTATTCGTGATGTGAGGCGAATACTCGTGAAGTGAGGCTAGTAATCGTGATGTGAGGCGAGTATTCGTGATGTGAAGCGAGTATTCGGGATGTGAGGCGAGAATTCGGATGTGAGGCGAGTATTCGTGATGTGAGGCAGCTATTCGTGATGAGAGGCGAGTATTCGTGATGTGAGGCGAATACTCGTGAAGTGAGGCGAGTAATCGTGATGTGAGGCGAGTATTCGTGATGTGAGGCAGCTATTCGTGATGAGAGGCGAGTATTCGTGATGTGAGGCGAATACTCGTGAAGTGAGGCTAGTAATCGTGATGTGAGGCGAGTATTCGTGATGTGAAGCGAGAATTCGGATGTGAGGCGAATGCTCGTGATGTGTAATAAAGACACGTGCTGTGACAATGTGATGTGTAATAAAGACACGTGCTGTGACAATGTGATGCGAATATGCAAACTGATCGATGAGGAAACCAAGTGAGCCACGTGTCCAGTGGAACGAGAGACGTACTTAAAGCCCCAGTAGAAAGAGCCGTTAGGGTCGGGTATGCCATTGGAGTTGGTGGTCTGGTAACTTGGTAACCAGTTGGCAAAGAGAGTGGTGGTGCTGAGACCAGTCAAGCCAGCTGCCGGGATTGGAATGGAGGGGGATAGGGAGCAGCAAGGAATAGGGAATGCCATTGGAGTTGGTGGTCTGGTAACTTGGTAACCGATTGGCGAAGAGGGTGATGGTGCTGAGACCAGTCAAGCCAGCTGCCAGGGAGATGGGTGTGAGAGAGTGAGAGAGAGGCAAGAACGTTCGGAGTGGAAGGGGTTTGGCAGATGAGAGCGTTGGTTGGGAGTGCAAGAGAGAGAGGAAAAAAACGAGTGCGAGAGAGAGAGGAAAAAAACGAGTGCAAGAGAGAGAGGAAAAAAGCGAGTGCAAGAGAGAGGAAAAAAGCGAGTGCAAGAGAGAGAGGAAAAAAGCGAGTGCGAGAGACAGTTGGTGATGCAGAGGGTTCTTCAAGCAGAGGGTTCTTCAAGCAGGTTTAAAAGGCGCACCACCAGGTGCGTCGGCATCTGGAGAGAGGAAGATTATAACAAACATGGAGTTGACAGCGAGGATGGCGGGGATGCTGAAGAGGGGACAGGCCACCCGGCTGGTGAGTCAGCTCTAAGGCTGCAACTCAAGGCATAGTTGGGGATCCGGGTGTGTTTTGAGTCGACTCAAAACACACCTAACCATCCGGACTATGAGGAACACGGAGATGACAGTGAGGAAGCAGGAATGCTGAAGAGCGGACAGGCCACCAGGCTGGTGAGTCAGCTCTAGTCTAAGACTGCAACTCAAGGCATAGTTGGGGATCGGGATGACAGTGCTTCATTCAAGCCGGTTCACATCACAGTGCACTGCACACACACCTGGTGAGTCGGCGTCTGACGAGAGGAAGATTCCGATAAAGACGGAGATGACAGCGAGGACGGCCGGGATGATGAAGTGCAATCCCACTCGGCTGCTGAGACGGCGCTAACATCAGTGAAAGTGCACATCTGGTGACTCGGCATCTGGAGAAAGAAATATGCCGATGAAGACGGAGATGACAGCGAGGACGGCCGGGATGATGAAGAGCGATCCAACGCGGTCCACCAGATGCACTCCGCCAAAGACGATGAGGCACAGGCAGATGGTGGTGATGATGCCGTATGCCTGGTGGGGGGGCGGACAGGCAGTGGGGAGATGGATGAACAGGGTAGTTGATGCAGAGGCGATTTTTGAGTCGACTCAAAAATCGCCTCATCACACGCGGATGAAGAGGGTCGTTGGTGCAGAGGAGTGGCACAGTGGGAGGAGGACGAGAGAATCCACGCGGTCCACCAGATGCACTCCACCGAAGTCAATGAGACAGAGGCAGATGGTGATGATGATGCCGTATGCCTGGTGTGGGGAGGGGGGGAGGGGGAGGGAGGGATATGTGACGTGAGGAGGCAGAAGCGGGAGGAAGGGAGAGGAGGGTTGAACATGAGACTCATGCATCACGGCAGGGATGATGAACAGCGATCCCACGCGGTCCACCAGGTGCACTCCACCGAAGACAATGAGACAGAGGCAGATGGTGGTGATGATGCCGTATGCCTGGTGGGGTTGGAAGGGGGAAAGGAGGAGAGGGGATGGAGAGGAGGGGGAGAGGGGAGGATGGAGAGGAGGGGATGGAGGGGGACGTGGAGGAGATGGTTGAGCATCAGGTGAAAGAAGCACAGCCGGCGGGCATGATGAAGTGCGATCCCACGCGGTCCACCAGATGCACTCCGCCGAACACGATGAGGCAGAGGCGGAAGGTGGTGATGATGCCGTATGCCTGGTGGGCCAGGGGCAGAGAGATGTTGGATGCGGTGCGGGCACACACTATGATTCATTCCCGCATTCCATCCACAGATGTTGCTCACACCCCCACCTGCATGATCTGCCTAGATAACTACCGCCTTGTTGATGAGACACGCACAGCCGGCTCACCTGCATGTCGTGTCTTGAAACAGACAGCACGGTTGCAGCCGCCGTGGGTGCAGCAGGCATGGTGCCGTTGATAGTGGCTTCATGCCAGTCATGCCAGGGAATGCCATGCAGTGCACCACGTGCACCGCACCCACCTGTTGCCTACCTGCTCCCTACCTGCTCCCTACCTGCTGCTCTCACACACGCCCACCTGCATGTCGTGCCTTGAGCACCGTTTTCGCTGTGGTGCCATTGTTAGCACCCTCATGCCTGGGACTGCCCTCCAGCCCTGCAGCCATTGCACCATGTGTACCACACCCACCTGTTGCATACCTGCTGCCTACCTGCATGTGGTGTCTCGATACAGACAGCACCGTTGCAACTGCTGAGGGTGCAGCAGCCATGGTGCCACGCCACTGATGGTGCCACGCCTACCTGCTGCTCTCACGCCCACCTGCAAGTCGTGTCTGGACACCGAAAGCACCGTTTCTGCTGCTACTGGTGCAGCAGCCATGGTACCGTTGATGGCGGCTTCACTCACTCCTGCTGCTCTCACACACGCCTACCCTCTGCCCACGTGCGACTCTCACTCTCACACCTGCCCACCTGCATGTCGTGTCTGGATACAGACAGCACCGTTTCTGCTGCTGCGGGTGCAGCAGCCATGGTGCCGTTGACGGCGGCTTCAGTCGCGTTCACTGCTGCCTGCACCGTCACTGTCATGGCTTGTGCTGCGGAGTGAGTGAGTGAGTGAGTGTGTGAGTGTGTGAGTGTGTGAGTGTGTGAGTGTGTGAGTGTGTGCGCGCACCGGAGAAAGAGGGGAGAAAGAGTGGAAACGTAAGGAAAACAGAGGGGAAACAGAAGGGGCAAAGCGAGGAATCAGAGGGGAAACAGCGGGCAGAAAGAGGGGAGGTTGCAAAGGTGGGCTCACTGCTGCTTGCACTGTCATTGTCATGGCTGGCAATGTAACAAAGAGGATTAGGAAGCAGGGATCGAAACATCATGTGTTTCGATGGACGCACACACCCATGTGTTCTGAGGTGCCTCTAAACACCATTGACATAACCTGGTGTCAATCCATGTGTACAAGCATTCCATGACACATGACACGACATAGCACATGGCACGGCGCATGGCATGGTGCATGACATTGCAAGCAGCTAAAAACGGCACATGACATGACAAAGAGAGTCAGCTTTCAGGCTGAGGATAGAGTGAAAGGAGGGAGAGGGAGCGCACGAGGGAAGAGGGCCATTTGGGGCATGGCGTCGAGTAGAGTTTCCACCGCACCCAGAATGTAGCTGTGCGGGGGAGAAATGGGGAGAGAGAAGGAGAAAAAGCGGAGTTAAAGAGGGAAGGCGGATGAATGGGGAGGGGAGATGGTGAGATACATGTGTGAGAGGAACCATAGATAGGAATGTGATGCAGAGAAAGAGTTAAGGGATATGTATAAATGTACAATGTGTACATCTATATACTGATACATATACACTACAAAATGTAAGACAAAAGTGGAGAGTATCTAGAAGCACTGATTTTGTTCAATTATGTTAGAGCCACATTGATCCCCCAATGGCATTGCCAAAGAAGAAGCAGAGGCCGATGCCAACCCCATTGGCTTGATTAATTTCATTGACTTTGTTTGACTCACAGCGATCCACCAATGGCATTGCCAAAGAAGAAGCAGAGGCCGATGCTGACGCCCACTTCTGGCCCCAAGGCACGGCCAATGAGGTAATAGGGACCTCCGCCCTGCGGGGCTCAAGGGACCAAAGGAGGGAGTGGGGCATGGGGTGTGGAATGGAGTGCGTGGAAGATGCAGAGGCCGATGCTGACCCCCACCTCTGGCCCCAGCGCGTGGCCGATGAGGTAGTAGGGCCCCCCACTCTGTGGGGTTCAAGGATGGGGAATGGGGAATTGGGGCATGGGGAATTGGGGCATGGGGAATTGGGGCATGGGGAATTGGGGCATGGGGAATTGGGGCATGGGAATTGGGGCATGGGGAATTGGGGCATGGGGAATTGGGGCATGGGGAATTGGGGCATGGGGAATTGGGGCATGGGGAATTGGGGCATGGGGAATTGGGGCATGGGGAATTGGGGCATGGGGAATTGGGGCATGGGGAATTGGGGCATGGGGAATTGGGGCATGGGGAATTGGGGCATGGGGAATTGGGGCATGGGGAATTGGGGCATGGGGAATTGGGGCATGGGGAATTGGGGCATGGGGAATTGGGGCATGGGGAATTGGGGCATGGGGAATTGGGGCATGGGGAATTGGGGCATGGGGAATTGGGGCATGGGGAATTGGGGCATGGGGAATTGGGGCATGGGGAATTGGGGCATGGGGAATTGGGGCATGGGGAATTGGGGCATGGGGAATTGGGGCATGGGGAATTGGGGCATGGGGAATTGGGGCATGGGGAATTGGGGCATGGGGAATTGGGGCATGGGGAATTGGGGCATGGGGAATTGGGGCATGGGGAATTGGGGCATGGGGAATTGGGGCATGGGGAATTGGGGCATGGGGAATTGGGGCATGGGGAATTGGGGCATGGGGAATTGGGGCATGGGGAATTGGGGCATGGGGAATTGGGGCATGGGGAATTGGGGCATGGGGAATTGGGGCATGGGGAATTGGGGCATGGGGAATTGGGGCATGGGGAATTGGGGCATGGGGAATTGGGGCATGGGGAATTGGGGCATGGGGAATTGGGGCATGGGGAATTGGGGCATGGGGAATTGGGGCATGGGGAATTGGGGCATGGGGAATTGGGGCATGGGGAATTGGGGCATGGGGAATTGGGGCATGGGGAATTGGGGCATGGGGAATTGGGGCATGGGGAATTGGGGCATGGGGAATTGGGGCATGGGGAATTGGGGCATGGGGAATTGGGGCATGGGGAATTGGGGCATGGGGAATTGGGGCATGGGGAATTGGGGCATGGGGAATTGGGGCATGGGGAATTGGGGCATGGGGAATTGGGGCATGGGGAATTGGGGCATGGGGAATTGGGGCATGGGGAATTGGGGCATGGGGAATTGGGGCATGGGGAATTGGGGCATGGGGAATTGGGGCATGGGGAATTGGGGCATGGGGAATTGGGGCATGGGGAATTGGGGCATGGGGAATTGGGGCATGGGGAATTGGGGCATGGGGAATTGGGGCATGGGGAATTGGGGCATGGGGAATTGGGGCATGGGGAATTGGGGCATGGGGAATTGGGGCATGGGGAATTGGGGCATGGGGAATTGGGGCATGGGGAATTGGGGCATGGGGAATTGGGGCATGGGGAGGGGAATTGGGGCATGGGGAATTGGGGCATGGGGAATTGGGGCATGGGGAATTGGGGCATGGGGAATTGGGGCATGGGGAATTGGGGCATGGGGAATTGGGGCATGGGGAATTGGGGCATGGGGAATTGGGGCATGGGGAATTGGGGCATGGGGAATTGGGGCATGGGGAATTGGGGCATGGGGAATTGGGGCATGGGGAATTGGGGCATGGGGAATTGGGGCATGGGGAATTGGGGCATGGGGAATTGGGGCATGGGGAATTGGGGAATGGGGAATTGGGGCATGGGGAATTGGGGCATGGGGAATTGGGGCATGGGGAATTGGGGCATGGGGAATTGGGGCATGGGGAATTGGGGCATGGGGAAATTGGGGCATGGGGAATTGGGGCATGGGGAATTGGGGCATGGGGAATTGGGGCATGGGGAATTGGGGCATGGGGAATTGGGGCATGGGGAATTGGGGCATGGGGAATTGGGGGCATGGGGAATTGGGGCATGGGGAATTGGGGCATGGGGAATTGGGCATGGGGAATTGGGGCATGGGGAATTGGGGCATGGGGATGGGGCATGGGGAATTGGGGCATGGGGAATTGGGGCCATGGGGAATTGGGGCATGGGGAATTGGGGCATGGGAATTGGGGCAGTGGGAATTGGGGAATGGGGAATTGGGGCATGGGGAATTGGGGCATGGGGAATTGGGGCATGGGGAATTGGGGCATGGGGAATTGGGGCATGGGGAATTGGGGCATGGGGAATTGGGGCATGGGGAATTGGGGCATGGGGAATTGGGGCATGGGGAATTGGGGCATGGGGAATTGGGGCATGGGGAATTGGGGCATGGGGAATTGGGGCATGGGGAATTGGGGCATGGGGAATTGGGGCATGGGGAATTGGGGCATGGGGAATTGGGGCATGGGGAATTGGGGCATGGGGAATTGGGGCATGGGGAATTGGGGCATGGGGAATTGGGGCATGGGGAATTGGGGCATGGGGAATTGGGGCATGGGGAATTGGGGCATGGGGAATTGGGGCATGGGGAATTGGGGCATGGGGAATTGGGGCATGGGGAATTGGGGCATGGGGAATTGGGGCATGGGGAATTGGGGCATGGGGAATTGGGGCATGGGGAATTGGGGCATGGGGAATTGGGGCATGGGGAATTGGGGCATGGGGAATTGGGGCATGGGGAATTGGGGCATGGGGAATTGGGGCATGGGGAATTGGGGCATGGGGAATTGGGGCATGGGGAATTGGGGCATGGGGAATTGGGGCATGGGGAATTGGGGCATGGGGAATTGGGGCATGGGGAATTGGGGCATGGGGAATTGGGGCATGGGGAATTGGGGCATGGGGAATTGGGGCATGGGGAATTGGGGCATGGGGAATTGGGGCATGGGGAATTGGGGCATGGGGAATTGGGGCATGGGGAATTGGGGCATGGGGAATTGGGGCATGGGGAATTGGGGCATGGGGAATTGGGGCATGGGGAATTGGGGCATGGGGAATTGGGGCATGGGGAATTGGGGCATGGGGAATTGGGGCATGGGGAATTGGGGCATGGGGAATTGGGGCATGGGGAATTGGGGCATGGGGAATTGGGGCATGGGGAATTGGGGCATGGGGAATTGGGGCATGGGGAATTGGGGCATGGGGAATTGGGGCATGGGGAATTGGGGCATGGGGAATTGGGGCATGGGGAATTGGGGCATGGGGAATTGGGGCATGGGGAATTGGGGCATGGGGAATTGGGGCATGGGGAATTGGGGCATGGGGAATTGGGGCATGGGGAATTGGGGCATGGGGAATTGGGGCATGGGGAATTGGGGCATGGGGAATTGGGGCATGGGGAATTGGGGCATGGGGAATTGGGGCATGGGGAATTGGGGCATGGGGAATTGGGGCATGGGGAATTGGGGCATGGGGAATTGGGGCATGGGGAATTGGGGCATGGGGAATTGGGGCATGGGGAATTGGGGCATGGGGAATTGGGGCATGGGGAATTGGGGCATGGGGAATTGGGGCATGGGGAATTGGGGCATGGGGAATTGGGGCATGGGGAATTGGGGCATGGGGAATTGGGGCATGGGGAATTGGGGCATGGGGAATTGGGGCATGGGGAATTGGGGCATGGGGAATTGGGGCATGGGGAATTGGGGCATGGGGAATTGGGGCATGGGGAATTGGGGCATGGGGAATTGGGGCATGGGGAATTGGGGCATGGGGAATTGGGGCATGGGGAATTGGGGCATGGGGAATTGGGGCATGGGGAATTGGGGCATGGGGAATTGGGGCATGGGGAATTGGGGCATGGGGAATTGGGGCATGGGGAATTGGGGCATGGGGAATTGGGGCATGGGGAATTGGGGCATGGGGAATTGGGGCATGGGGAATTGGGGCATGGGGAATTGGGGCATGGGGAATTGGGGCATGGGGAATTGGGGCATGGGGAATTGGGGCATGGGGAATTGGGGCATGGGGAATTGGGGCATGGGGAATTGGGGCATGGGGAATTGGGGCATGGGGAATTGGGGCATGGGGAATTGGGGCATGGGGAATTGGGGCATGGGGAATTGGGGCATGGGGAATTGGGGCATGGGGAATTGGGGCATGGGGAATTGGGGCATGGGGAATTGGGGCATGGGGAATTGGGGCATGGGGAATTGGGGCATGGGGAATTGGGGCATGGGGAATTGGGGCATGGGGAATTGGGGCATGGGGAATTGGGGCATGGGGAATTGGGGCATGGGGAATTGGGGCATGGGGAATTGGGGCATGGGGAATTGGGGCATGGGGAATTGGGGCATGGGGAATTGGGGCATGGGGAATTGGGGCATGGGGAATTGGGGCATGGGGAATTGGGGCATGGGGAATTGGGGCATGGGGAATTGGGGCATGGGGAATTGGGGCATGGGGAATTGGGGCATGGGGAATTGGGGCATGGGGAATTGGGGCATGGGGAATTGGGGCATGGGGAATTGGGGCATGGGGAATTGGGGCATGGGGAATTGGGGCATGGGGAATTGGGGCATGGGGAATTGGGGCATGGGGAATTGGGGCATGGGGAATTGGGGCATGGGGAATTGGGGCATGGGGAATTGGGGCATGGGGAATTGGGGCATGGGGAATTGGGGCATGGGGAATTGGGGCATGGGGAATTGGGGCATGGGGAATTGGGGCATGGGGAATTGGGGCATGGGGAATTGGGGCATGGGGAATTGGGGCATGGGGAATTGGGGCATGGGGAATTGGGGCATGGGGAATTGGGGCATGGGGAATTGGGGCATGGGGAATTGGGGCATGGGGAATTGGGGCATGGGGAATTGGGGCATGGGGAATTGGGGCATGGGGAATTGGGGCATGGGGAATTGGGGCATGGGGAATTGGGGCATGGGGAATTGGGGCATGGGGAATTGGGGCATGGGGAATTGGGGCATGGGGAATTGGGGAATGGGACCTGCGGGAATCGGCACACTGCAAGGGGCATGGGGAGTGGAAGGTATAGACGAACCATGATACGTCTCAAACCTCCATGGCACAGCCAATGATGTAGTAGCAACCTCCGCCCTGAGGGGTTCAATCAATGCATAGGGCATGGAGGGAATCAAGGCCTGGGGAATGGGGCATGCCACATGGAGCGTATGTGGGACATGAAAACATATGGTATGGAGCAGGAGCAGCAGTAGCAACAACCCACCTTCATGGCGCCATTGGTGACGACAGCAGAGAGGGAGAGCGCAGTGAGTGATGAACGTGCTAACACATGTGATGAACGTGCTAACACATGTGATGAACGTGCTAACACATGTGATGAACGTGCTAACACATGTGGTGATCGTGCTAACACATGTGATGAACGTGCTAACACATGTGATGAACGTGCTAACACATGTGATGAACGTGCTAACACATGTGGTGAACGTGCTAACACATGTGGTGAACGTGCTAACACATGTGATGAACGTGCTAACACATGTGATGAACGTGCTAACACATGTGATGAACGTGCTAACACATGTGATGAACGTGCTAACACATGTGGTGAACGTGCTAACACATGTGGTGAACGTGCTAACACATGTGATGATGTGACTGCCACCACCACCACTACCACCATTACCACCACAACCATCACTCCAATACCAGCAATAGCAGCAGCAGCAGCAGCAGCAGTGCCACCAGCAGCAGCCCACCTTCATGGCACCGTTGGTGACGACAGCAGAGAGGGAGAGGGCAGTGATGAACGTGCTGGCACATGTGACTGCCACGACCATCAGGCTCCCGCTCACCCCTGCTATGCCCACTATCCTGCCATGCCATGCACAGGGCACACCGGAGAGGGCACAGGGCACACCGGAGAGGGCACAGGGCACACCGGAGAGGGCACAGGGCACACCGGAGAGGGCACAGGACACAGGACAGAGGGCAGAGGTCAGATGGTAGAGGGTATAGGGAGAGGAGACAGCAGTGAGCAATTCGTAGACAGTGGCGCATGTGACTGCCACGACCATCAGGCTCCCGCTCACCCCTGCTATGCCCTCTATCCTGCCAGGCACAGGGCACAGGGCACAGGGCATGGGGCATGGGGCACGAGGCACAGGGATCAAGAATGAACACCCCTGTCTGTCAAGGGGACAGGTGGGACCCAGCAGAGCAGGCGAATGGAGGGAGATCATCTCGAGTGAGTACACCCGTGTGAGCATAAGAGTAGGGGGACCCCCACGAGAGCCAGGCAAGCAAGCACTCAGCCGGGGAAGCAAGTAAGGTGCCCAGCAGGAGAGGCTGATGTAGAAGATGATTCCCAGGATGTTCTGCACACACGGGATGTACACCCTGTGAGCTGAGCAGCACCGGTGGGCCACCCTACCCACGACAGGTGGGGTGGGACTCAACAGCACAGGCGAGCAAGCACTCACCAGGAGAGGCGGATGTAGAAGATGATTCCCAGGATGTTCTGCACACACGGGATGTACACCCCTGTGAGCGTGCCCAGCTTGCCTTGTGACGGGGCCTGGTGGGAGGGGGGATGGAGCAGGGGAAAGTGAGGGTGGACAGGGAGAGAAAGCATGGTCTACATACATGAAGAAGAGAGCGGTTGGAGCAGCACACACGGTTACGCAAGTGGGAGGGAAGCTGGGTGCTTGAAAGAAATTTTGCGAGAATCTCTGAACAGCACTCGTTGAACTAAAGCATTGGATGAAACATGCGAACAACGCCTGAAATAAGACATGCCATGAAATCCTGGGTGAAATGTTAGATGAAATCCCGAACAAGGTCATTAAAAAGAGCTCAAGTAAGACATCGAATGAAACGTCAAATGAAACCTTGAGTGTAACCAGCGTCACCCACATTGTCGTGATCATGATGCACTTGCAGCGATTCAGTCTCGGAGTCGTGGGGACTCTTGGGGGAAAAGGCCGTGCCCATTCTGTGGTGCGGTGTGGTGTGGTGTGGTAGAGTGGTGGCACAGGATGGTGAGAGCAGAGACAGTGTAAGCTTGAGTGGGTCAGCCTCCTCAGGGTCGTGGGGGGTCTTGGGGGAAAAGGTCGTGCCCATTCTGTGGTGCGGTGTGAATATGCACGCAATGGTGCGAGCAGTGGGATGGTATCGAGATGACGCGGGACGGAATGAGATGAGGTTGACATCACGGAATTGAAGAGAGAAAAAAAACGCCTTGAGACCCCGATAGGTCAAACGATTTTCACCCAATATCCAACCCGGTTTCACCCCATTTTCACCCACCCCAGTTTTCACCCAATCCTACTCACCCATCATTCTATCTATTTTCACCCAAGCTTCGCCCAACATTCAGCGTAACTTCACCCCATATTTACCGAGTGATGTGTAACGCACTTGAGCTTCAAGTCAAAGACGACACAACACAATATGTACACAAGTTTCCGGTACATTCGACCAACACTTCATCTCAGCAAGTAGAGCCAGCCATGCAACCAACCAGCCAGCCTGCCCGGACTCACTTCATCCGTCCACTTTACATCTTCACCCCACTGCATACCCCTTCACCCCAGAGAATACCCTCTTCACCGCACAGCATACCTCTTCACCCCAACGGCATCCACCAGCCTGTCACTCTCAAACAACTCCAGATGGTGATTCCGCCTCCCTCCGTGCCTCTCCTCCCGCCCTCCCTCTGCTGCTGCAGACCCTTCCGAGCCATAAGCATTCGAGCCATATCCTTCGCTCACAGTCGACCGCGCACTCAGTGTGCCTTGGCTGGTGCCACCAGTGGGAGGAGTGAAATGACGGGGGTGGGGTGGGGGTGGAGTGGGGTGGGGTGGGATGGGGTGGGTTGAGGGTGGAAATGACGGATTTTCTCATTCCAAAATGGAAAACGTCTGAGGCATCTCAGAAGCAATCATCGTGAACTGCGCTGCGCTGCACTCAGTACGGCTTGGGCCGGAGAACGGAAGAAAGGTTGGACGGAGGCTGGTGAATGCAAGCTAGAAACCAGGACGGAATGGCTGACGTAACGGCTGGAATGGCTGAAGGAATGGCGAACGGAAGGGCTGACAAATTAGCTGATGGAATCGATTGGTAACATACGCCCTCACCTCGTACTCGATTCAAGGTCCACCGATATAAGCTCCGTGGTGTCCAGGTCAGCGACGCTCAGCTCGGTCAGCGGCACCCGCGAGTACAGCTGCGGTGACGATTGCGGCATTTGGACGACAGCTAAACGCAGAATATTATAGTATTCTTATATCGCATATTCTTCCTCATGTCACATTCGCAGCGACGGCCCAGAGACAGCGCTGCGTATACTCGCTAGAAGCTGGGGACTGTTACGTCGTCTCGAGAATAGTCGATCCTCGCATTCGCGACGAAACTGGAAGGCGAAGAGCTCGTGCGACACAATGGTCGCACGCGACGAGCTCCTGCGACGCCTCGACACTTCCCTAGGGCTCACAGTCGAACAAAACACCAGCTACTGGAAAAGAGAATGCGACGCGCCGAAACCGCCTCGAAGCTCGTGTCGGCGAGTGAACGACAATAGCTGGAGGAGCTGAACACCCCTAAGCACGGGACATACTCATCACAATGTGCATCGACAAACTAGAGGATCTGCAACGCGCAATGATCGTCAGATGATCAGGTCAGTGATCCAAAGTAACGGAAAGCTGAAGCCACGAGGAAGTGAGATGGTAGGGAGAGTGGAGGAAGAGAGAAGGAAATGCCATGGCTCATGATAGGTTGTGCCAAACCACGGGGATGATCAGCGAGTGTGTCTCAAAACCGTACCTGAACGTTCTAAATCAAGTAGAACCAATCTGAAAAGCAGGATATCCTGTTCCACCGCATAAATGTGTGAGTTTTCAATCCACACACCACGGTTCAACTCGGTAAGGGCGTGTAAAGTTGCAATAACCGAGCTATTTTTCCTACCATTTGGGCGTTTCAGGCGATTGCGAAACGTGTAACGCGTAAGCGAACCCCGCCAAACATTTCGACATTAACTGGGGCACTATTCCGGGTGCAATTAATCGAGGTAGCGAGGATTGCACTAGGGTGTTCAATGAGTACAAAGTATGAGCGAAGGGATGAGCGAATGCTTCTACTCGAAAAATGTGCAACGGTAACGCGGTGCGTGCGAGCTAGCTAGTGCTACGCTGGCGCGAGGTTCGGGCTAGTCCCGAAGCGTAGGCCGACTCGGCTGCTCCAGCAGTGCGAGGTTTGGTGAAACAGTGCGCGCGAAGTTGGCGAAGCCCCGTTAGCAGTAACGGGCAAACAACGGCTGCTGCTGTACGCGATGTTGACGGTCGCAGTAAGGAATAGTGAGAAAATTCCTTACACTACCCTCCCCCTCAAGAAGCCCCCTCCGCTACGCGAGTGCGTGTATATCGCGGAAACCCCGGCTCCTCAGGTACACTTGCAGGGCAGGGTGGTTTTCGATGTTGGCCAGGGGCACCTAGCTATCCTCGGTTGGCGTGCGGTCCTTCCAGCGAACGAGGAACTCGATCCTCTTGATGCCTGTGGGGTGGAGAATCCGATGGCTCCGAATTTTTTCGGGCTCGATGATCGGCTCCGATGCAGGGCGAGTCATGGATGGTGGGCGGTGACGAGGCAGTTGGCTCGTGGTTGGGATGTAAGGGCGAAGCAGGCTGACGTGGAATGACGGGCTGATGTACTAGTCTGTCAGCGATAGTAAGTGGGCGGTAACTGGGGTGATCATGTGGCTGATTTGAAATGGTCCACAGTAGCGCGGTCGTAATTTCGGTACGACGGGCAGTCTTAAGTTCTGTGTGTCGAGCAGTACGTAATCTCCTGACCGGTACGTGACTGGGCGGCGCTGGCAGTCAGCGTTGCGCTTAGCGATGACGTTGGCTTTTTTTATTGCTTCGGCGGCTCTGGTGCGGGCAGCTTGCAGAATCTCGGCGAATTGTTGTGCGCGTGGCGTTGGGTTGTCCGGAATCGGCGTCATGGGCACTGTTGGGTTTTGCCCGTAGTTCAGGTAAAATGGGGACGGCTGCATCGTCGCTGACGTGGCGTTGTTGTAGGCAAACTCGACCAGTGGTAGCTGCTGCTCCCAAGTTGTCGGGTCGTCGCACGTGGCCCGAATCAACTGCTCCATCATCTGATTGGTCCGCTCCGTTTGACCGTCGGTCTCCGGGTGGTACGATGAACTGAACTGTAGCCTGGTCCCGGACTGCTCCCAGAGGTTCTTCCAGAAGTTGCTGGTAAACTTCGTGTCGCGGTCGCTGATTATCGCAGCTGGTATCCCATGCAGTCGAACGACGGCTGCGATGAACAGGCGAGCGGTTTCTTCAGCTGAGATCGATTTCTTGCACGCAGCGAAGTGAGCCATTTTCGGCAGTCTGTCAACGACGACCATAACAGCGTCGTTACCCCCAGGGTTCGAAGGTAACCCCGTGACGAAATCCATGGTAACTTGCTGCCAGGCGCGCTCGGGCGGTGGAATCGGCTGCAATTGACCCGCCTTTCTCTTTCGCGAGCTCTTCATCACCTGACACGTAGGACATGAACCCACATGGTGTTGTACGTCGGTCAACAGCTCCGGCCAGTAGTAATACCGCTGCAGTTGCTGTCGTGTTTTTTCTACCCCAAAGTGGCCCGGGGTAATCCCGTCGTGTGCCTCCTGCAGTAACATCTCCCTCAGTAGTGAGTACGCGGGTACCCAAATGCGGTTGGTGCCTGTTTTTACGTAATAGACTCCCTTAGCTTCTGCCAGTTGCTGTGAATTTCCGGTCGTGAAAAATGGGTCGGTACTGTATCCGTGGGTGAATAGGCCTGTTAACAGGGGGTTGGTTTGGACGAGTAGGATGGCGTGGAGTTGGGCGGCAGGACATATGAGTGCGTCGGCGATATTTGATGCGCCTTTTTTGTACGTGACGGTGTAATGGAAGTTGGACTCAAGATAGTCCAACCAGCGGATCTGTCGCGGGTTGAGATTCGGTTGGGCGCGAAGGTATTGTAGTGATCGGTGATCTGTCCGTACTGTCACGTCTGCTCCGGTGAGGTAGCATCGCCACACTTTGAACGCGTGCACGATCGCCAGCATTTTGCGGTCGTGTATTGGGTAGTTGCGTTCGGGCGGGTGAAGTTTGCGGGACTCATACGCTATTGGCTGGAGGCCGTTCCCGAAATCCTGCAACAATACTGCTCCCACAGCGATGTCGCTTGCGTCGGTGACGAGTTCGAACGGATGGTGCGGATCTGCGATGTGAAGCACGGGCGGCGAGCACAAAATTTGCTTGAGGGCCGAGAAGGCAACCTGCTCTTTCTCCCCCCACGTGTACTCAACCCCCTTCCTCAGCAGGTCGGTCAACGGAGCAGTCAACTTCGCCATGTCGGGGATGAACCGGCGCACGTGGTTGACGAACTCCAAAAAGCTCTGCAGCTCGGTCAAGTTTGTCGGCGCGTGCCATGCTTGAATCGTCGCGATCTTCTTCGGGTCTATTTCCACTCCTTCAACTGAAATAATGTGTCCCAAAAACTCCAGTCTGTCCTATAAAAACTCACACTTAGATGCTTTCGTTTGTAGGCAGCTCTCACTCAGTATTTAAAAAACTGCTTCAATGTCCTATAGGTGCTGTGCTCTGTCTGGGTTGTAAATCAGTATGTCGTCGAGGTACACGATGACGCACTTATCTAAAAGCGGGCGGAAGGCTTCGTTCATGGTCGTTTGAAAAGTTGGGGGGGCGTTGGTCAGTCCGAAAGGCATGACGGCGTATTCAAAGGATCCGTAGCGTGTTTGGAAAGCTGTTTTCAGGCAGTCGGGTGGGTTGACTCGGATCTGGTGGTAGCCTCCTCGAAGGTCAATTTTCGAGAAAACCTGGGCTGTGCGCAGTTGGTCGATCAGTTCGTCGGCTCATGGGATGGGGTAACGGGATTTGATGGTAACCCTGTTCAATGCGCGGTAATCGATGCACATGCAAAAACCCCCGTCCTTTTTCGGTGTGAACAGTATCGGTGCTGCGAAGGGTGAAGAACTCGGGCGAATGAATTCCTTCTCGAGCAGATAATCTAGCTGCTTCCTCAGTTCATCCAGTTCGGGTTGGGTCAGTCGGAACTGTCAC